CTTTTGTGTGAGTGTTTAGAAACACAGGGAGATTTTAAGCACACAAACATGAAAAATATCAATTTCACATTTGGTTTAACGCTTTCACACTTTGTGTCACTGACACCCAGAGAGAAGGGCTGTGGAAGACAAAACACAGCTCCTGGATAAGGATCATGTTAATTCCTATCAATTAGGATCAAAAAGGGATTAACTAGCATGGTTGCAGCGGTGGGATGGGGGCCCATGCAAAGTCACTGAATACTAGGGGTCACACCCCCGACTTCATTAGACCTGACCTTTGCACACCATTGTGCGACAGGAAAGAGACCCTGCAGTCTGTGTTTCCCCTTTACCCATCGTAGATGGCTTATGGGGAGTCAAATATGAGACATGCAGAAAAGCTGTTAGAGATCAGTGAAATATGAAATATTCACTTTCAAAGTCCAGGGAGACTTATTAGGTTACTGCAACTTGGTACAGGTGGGTATTTACTCATCAACCCCCAACCTCCCAGCAAAGGAAATAATTTTTTTCACCTTTGAGAGGAGTGAGATTTACTAATTAGTCATGGTGCGGCCTCCCCTCGCTATGATGTACCGCCGAGTTGACGAGCTCTAACTCTGCCTTGCTGTCTTAATTCACAAAAGGTCAAATGGCAGAGTGAAAGCAGGTATTCCAGGTGTGTTAAAATAAGCCCCAATTAGGGAAAAATGCAAGCACACCCTCAAGTCTCACATATCCAACTTGGAAGTAAACTTTCAGTAAAGCTCCTGAACTGGGGTAAATGTTAATGCTGTGGCATGTCAAGAGTATTTTTTTTTTTTTACACATTCATTACATAAAGAAAGAAATGAGAATGATTGAGAGAAATACAGGGTTTTCAGCGTTTAGAACTAACTGTAACAGTAGATTGTATTGTGTCTTATGGAACCGGGTTAAAGGTAGTTGCTGCAATATTATTTTTACACCTGGGATTCAACACGGTGAGTGCATAGACTAAACATGTATAAAACTTTATAGTTTCTCTTTTGTGACACTTGTTCAAGCATCTTTAGGGTTGAAAAAAGCTAAATTTATAGCTAAGCGGACTAGAGATGAACACAAACGGTTCTCAGAGTACCATATTACAGTCTGACCAGATGTTTGTACTCACTCTGGTAAGAACAATTGCTTTTATTGTACCAGATCTTCAATAACCAAATAACCAAATTTGATTGATCCTTTATTAAAATGTGTACAAACTTAACAAATATCTGTTCATTTATCATTAGCAGAGTGTTTTTTGTATTTTAAATATCACTGTGTGACTATAGTGTTACAAAGACATTATGTACTTTACGTTCAACCTCTCATACCAGAGCTGAACAGGGTCTGGCCAGCTTAAAAACCCCAGCTGAGAGCAAGGTAGACCTGGGTTAGATAACTGACAGTTTCCCATTCTTACCAACAGCAACCATTTTTTCCCCCCCACCAAGTTTTTGTCTAAAAATACATTAAAAGTCCACCCATACACATATAAGATGAAGTACAACAAGCACTGACCCTGCTGTTTGAATCTTCATGAAGCACCGTGCAGTATGTTAAATGCTCATGTGTAACGGTTTTGTTGGAAACTTAGACTAGACTATTTGTAAGGTCTCAATCCAGCGGTATGTGTTAAGAATTCAGAGAAAGTTAAGACTTAAGTAAAATAGCAGAAGTTCATCTCAGGCCAAAAGTTTCCTTCTAGAAAGTAAGTGCTTGTTCAGGCTGCTGTTCAGTCTAAGCAGGCATGCAACCTTGCTCTGAAGTCAAACAGTGGTCACCCAGGCCTACTGCTTTCTTTGTACCGTTTATGAGGATGTTATAGATGAGCACACTCCATTTAAAAGTCAGTGGTGGATTTGCAGTCAAATTAAAACAGGAAGTATTGCTGAAGCTGTCAATGCTACGCAGCTGAGTGGGAACGGACATGCTGCATGTGCACATCTTAAGAGTGGCTGGGTCACAAACAGTGGAAAACAAATGCAGGCAAACATTCACACAACACTGCAATCAAAGAAATCAAGTTATTTACTTACCTTTCACAAAGCCCAAAAAAGTGTTGTGACAACTGACATTTACAGTATAGTCACTGTGCAATTTCAGGAAGGTAGCCTTCTTCTAATGAGGATCTAATATTCATGTTGATATTGATGTTGCACCTGCAATTTAAATCCTCTGCTCAGTCAGTTTGTGGTGTATTGTGGTTGTGTTAATGCTAAACAAAAGGTCTGCTATCTGCAGGCAAAGATCTTACTGTTAACCCAATATCAATTTCATACCTCAGAAATTATGTTTGTGCAGACAACAAGATAGTTTGCAAAATACACCCCATAAAGGCACTCATGTTGTTATTCTAATATTAGGGCATCATGAGTACAGTAATAAAGCAAACATACTCAACTGAAACTGATCAGCAGAAATATTAGATCTAAACAAGAAAAAACAATATGGCATATTATCAAAAGCGTTTGTGGTGAACTGAAGTATTGACATGAATAACTATTTAATACAATCAAGAATTAAATTCTGAGAACAGCTGAAATAGTTTAGTTCGAGTGTGCATGATTACAACTAGAAAATGTCCTTACTGCCTGCTTTATAAATGGAACTTGCAATATAAGCTGAAGTAAACCTCTCTTGTTTAGTACCATCTACAAAAAGGTCAACAGGTTTGAGCAAATAAAATTAAATAAACAATCCAAACAGGTTTGGTAATTCCGAGCTGGCTCTTTCTCCCGTGAAACCACAACACATGCATAAACCCAAAGTGCCTTTTCTCTCTCCATTTTCATGGCAAGAGAGCAGAGGCCCAGCTTAATATGTTACTGACAGCCACTGTTGTGTTATGTGGCATCAGAACACAGTCTGGCTTTCACACGAGGTCTTAACAGTGGACGAAAACAAGTATTCAAGAGGGTAAAGGTCACCTAACCCTTTCAGTGAGTCAGGTTAGCAGTTCTACATCACAATATACAGTACTTTTAAATAAATGTTACAGTGGGTGGATTTAAATTTAAAGAGCATATACATCCTATGCAACTAACTTTATTGTAAGATATAAAGATCACTTTTAAGAGTAAGAATTTTCAATTAATGCGGTATAACATTCAAATAATACAGCATTATATATCGCTGTATCTGCTTTAATTATCAGTATGCGTAATATATACATAAACAGTAAAATATTTTATTACATTAATTACATTTTAATATATATGTGTATACAGTTAGCTTTATGCAACAAAAATGGCATTATGTATAATTCAACAGTATTTGAAAATAAAATAATTTCATAATATCATCGTACAAATCAGACACAAAATAGCGACCTCACAATTATAAACTAATGTCGTTTATTACTCAGGTAAAATAAAATCAAAATAATTTGTGTTAAATAATGTTTATAATGCCCGACTCGCTTTTTTAATGTGCGTATATTTTTTTAAGTCAGTGCTTTATAAATACTGTAAAACACAATTTAACTGCGTTGAGAACTAATAATACTTAATATAATATTATCTGATGAAAAATTCTAATTGTAAGATCAAATCATCAATCGTATCAAAAAATTATATTCTCATTGCGTTGGAAAATATTTTTTGATTCAAGTAAATTGCATGACTTACTCATCACCTTATGTTTTTGATGAACTTCTAGCTTGGATCATTTTTGTGATGAAAAATAAAAAATAAACCGCAGAAACTGTGCATCGCTCTCAACATTTTCATAGCAAATAATTTTACTTTGTACTGTTAATATTATGTTGCTGTAGTATATAATTATATGTTTACAATTTAATTAATGCTTCGACGTTTAATTTAAGACTTTACCAAAGTAAACCATATTAAATCCATCGAAAGCGTTTGTAAAAAAGAATGAAAAAGAATGAAAATAAAACAGGACATTTTCATGATAAAATCAAAATGCTCGACCAAATAAAAATTAATCGCGTTGTATTTGACAAAAAGTAAACCTATAAATCATAAACTGAAATTCAACAGAAGTATTTTTTACATGTACCCTTTCAGTCCAGTTCAGTATTATTTTGAAAACTGTTCCACTGAAAAGTTTGCTTATCCCTCAAAATTCGTGCCGTTTTCTAACAGGATTTACGCTGCGAGTTCAGATTTCATTTTTTACAAGCTACATTACAGTTCATCTCTTTCGCCATTGCCTAAACCTAAAATGGACGCTGCTGGCTTTGAGTTATCGATGGCTAGGACCAGCAAAGGGTCACAGCTGTGCAGTTGTGCTTTTAGGAGGGAAAAGGCAAATGGATCCATGTTTTGGCAGTCTGCCAGGAGACTCCTTAAAATACAGTGAAGGCCTTGATTTAAAATATGCCATACCAATGTCAAAGGAAACTGCGTCATTACGCAGCAGAGGCTGGTGAGATAAACAACCCACCGTTTACAACAGACAATGGCAGGTGCAGCTCTTGTACAGAACAATGCTTTGAAGCATGTTCAAATTTTACTCTGTATGTGCACAGAAATAACCCAAGAAATCTTTTCATTATAGCTCAGGCAGCATTAGAGCCTAGATGAAAGCCTGTTTTCTCCAGACATCATCATGATGTTAGACCTCGTGACTGCACTGTGGGTGGAGACAATGAGCCAATAGAAAAACAGGATGAAGATTCGGAGCCCTTCTTGCATCAGCATTTTCCGGCTAAGCCTCAAGTGAAAGTTACGAGATCCATATCCATGATTATCTTATGAAGAGATCACAAATCTGTGTTAATAAAAAATGATTGCTGCTGACGAGTGAATGGCAGCGCTGAATTTGATTAGCCATTTCTCACCATCACATCATGTAGAACTGGCAATACAAGCCAGAGCTCAACCTCTATAAACACTGGTCTGTGCACCAGACTGATATTTCCCTCAGGCAATCACATTCACTCACTCACTGCAGCACCTTAAAGCATTCCTAGAATTGCTTTTCTCAACTTTTAACATGCCCAAATGTGCTTTAATGAACAGGTCAACACAGATCTTACCATTTGGTCGGACACGCTCCAGCGTCGAAAACATGAAGGCATGACAGGATACAAGAAACCATGGATCTCCTGTGTTGAACAAAAAAAAGAAAAAACAAACATCATCAAACGATTGTTCGGCTCGGATATAGTGAAGATACACATTATGTTGACACAGACATGGGAAATAAAAAGCAGAACGAAAAGGAAGACAAGCTTCAAAATAAAAAGCTATTTTATTTTTGTTTGGTTCATAACTCTGCAGATTGTAACACGTTCAAGCTAAATTTGCAGTCAAAAAGTTACAATATATAAATAAATACTATGTTGCATAGGGCGCAATCAAATCGCTGATTTGAAAGCATATAATGGCTGTTAACAGTAGTTTACCATTCTAAAAAATGCATGAGTTGTAGTTGTGTGTTATAATATTTACTTTACAATAGGTGATATAAAAACGCATAAATTAGGAATAGGAATGATAGTATAAAGTGATGCACCTCTTAATGTCTAATCTGCATGCAATAAACACACAAATCTTCATCCACTCAGTATTGTGGTCACTATTACAAATGACAAATGGTCACCAACATCGAAGAACCTGCTATAACTTTGTGATGCACCATAATTTTAGGTTTTAAAAACAATAACAATTTTGGAAGCCACGCCGATAAAAGGGCATAATCTGATAATATACAGTATATTTGGCAGAGATGTTTATTTAGACCTACAATCTGAAATTGCAACAAGTTACCCAAAGATATATGTACAATCCTAAAACTCGTTTTGTTTGCCCTTAGCTTTCTAATTGCAAGTCCAATCATTATTGTCAGACACTGGATCAGGTTTGGGACAGACCTGAAAAATAAAAAATACCGCATGTTTTAAGTGTTTCTGTACGCTCTGGTGAAAACATAATCAACGAGAACTCAAAAATCATTAAGCAATATGACAAGACGAGACTAAAGGAGCTGTCTGGGAGCAGACGAGTATGCACTAAGTAGGTGATAATGAAGAGATCTGTCCAGGCTGGTCACTGATATGGCAAACAGATAAATATCACAGACTCACTGAGTGAAAGTAACTTGTAATGTCAGACTGAGGCTAGGAGCACTTTTTAAAGCCAAAGTTAATATTGCCTTCACCCTCCCTCACTGAAAGATTGGACTGTGAAAACAATATTGCAGCTGCTTTGACTGTTTTAATAACACATTTAATAACTCATTGCTCGGTGGAATTTATGACTTTTCAAATTAAATCTTCCCTTCACTTTAACCGAAGTAGTGCTTCAGCAAATTCACTAAAAGACAGGTTGCAGTATATTAAAACTGAATCTTCCGTGAAAATAAGAGGCTGATTTTATCGTGTTATAACTACTTTTTAAAATAGAAATTATGATACTAAGATAAGTTTCACTGACTATTATTACGGCAACTGAGTCTAAAGCAACAAAGCTATAATAAACGATAATAAAATGTAACCTGTTACAATTACCTTTTCTTTCTAACTGATAAGCAATGCAATCTATTGGAATCAGAGTCAGTAATTAGTCCAAAATCCACAAAATATGCTAATTTATACAAAAATATAAACAGATGTTTTTCGTATTAGATGTTTTAGAAGTCAATATCAAAACCATTCATAGATTATTTCACATTACATAAAATGATACTTGTGTTCACACCGTTGCCTCCACAGTGTGCTTCGCCACATGTTCAGAAATGCTGAATAACTACGGATTAATAGATTCTACTTGTATTTCTATCAAGCTGTCTGTAAGATATTGTAATTATCATAGAAATACCAATTGTAAGTATGTGTACTTGTATATTCAACAGAAACATGAAGATGTTTTTTAAGTATAAACGTATATACCAATTATAAAAATAGAAACATTTAAAAATCAAAAGACGCCGAAGACATTTATATAATATGTAGAGCCATTTTGGTTGCTCATAATAAAGATTTTACCCTGAAAGCCTTTGGCACCAATTGGGGGTGATGAATCAAACAAAATGGCTACCAAGCGTACCAATAACAGACAGATACGCAGTGGTAGAGAAACAAGGGAGGAATAAACTTCCATCAAGTGAAGAATTGCATAATAACATCGGAACTGTCCAGATCCAGGGCTGCATTACTCAAGGATGGTGACTAGTGATTAAATAATCATTAAAATCAACTAAACACAAATAATTTAGGTTAGAAAAACCTGTTAAACATTCACTGTGCTGTTCTTGGTGCAATATATGCTTGAGCAGCAGTGGGCTGTGTCACTGAAGTACAATGCATCACCAGCCTTCGCATGTTTTTTCTGCTAACATCAATTCATATACGTCATGAATAACATGACTGCTATAGCAGCCATCTTGCCCTAAAAGAGCAGACGCTGGGAGGAGGGAAGAGGGCTCCCCCAAGTCATATGACTTAACTGTCTGCAGACAACTGCAGTGACAGAGCAAAAGCGTCTAGACAAGTCTGAGGCAGCAGCAGATCAGGTACACATGCACTGTCCCAACACAACTTCATTTGACTTCCACATTGTTTTTAGTTGAGTCTAAGTTTGGATTTATCCTCCTTCATGTCTGCACAGCAAGATGCAAAAGCTCATCAATTTGGGTAGGAAATAATACAACCATTAACCTCTTTGAAAGTGTGGACAAGCTTTGTTCTAACTGATTTCATTTTAAATATATATCAAATATATCCGTCTCAGCTATTGAGGGTGTGTTAAAAACAATGCACAAAACATCTAGAACCTTCCATTTAAAGAGACGACGCAGCCAGATTTAATATTACATTAAAATGTTGTTGTGTTATAGCTATGGACTAAAATATAGCACGAAAGAAAGCCGACACATACACTTTATGTCACGTTGTCGCTACTTGTGGGAACTTTAACGTAAATACTACTAAACATTTAGAGCAAGTGTCTTAAAACATTGTAGCTAATAAATACAACAATCTGATAAACCTCATTAAACGTATGCAGTATCACCCTGCATCAGTGAACCCCTTAAAAAGTGAACCCACTACCAGAAACCAACCTTTCTGAGCTGGTGCAGGCTGCCTTCTGGATGGTGCACTCCTCTTGAACTCCAGCCTGCTGATCCCCTGCAGAGCATAAACAAGGGCAGGAAAAGAAAGAATATATATATAATTCATACAGGATTCACATTACCTCACCCCAGGGTCACACAGATTAGTTTAGATTAGTGCAATTAGCACGTGTGCATGAAAAAAAAAAAAAGGTTTTTGTTTGGTGCTTTTTGTAATTCTAAATTGTTATGGTTGTACAGCTGAAAGGGTTAAGAAGAGAATTGATGAGTCCACATAAGACCGGGTCCCCCACCCCCCTCCGCCCCCCCTCCCTCAGGTGTCTGCTGAGTAACAGGTAGCCCAGCTTAAGTGCGCGTGGGGTTAATCAACAACCTCACGTCAGCAGAGGTGCGTCACCTGCGCATCCTCCTGAAGTAGTGTGAACGAGGTCAAGCCTCCAAAACAATACAGCTGCTGTGTGGAATTCGTGTAAGAAACAGGAAAACACACACACACACAATACATGACTTATTTTAACGGCAAACATTTATCGGGCTACCTGCAGTTTGCTACGATAAGTGGATAATTTAAATTACAAGCAAATTTTAATTTAATTTTCTCCTCAAAACATTAAAAAATAAACCATTTTTTTCTGGCTAATGTGAAATGCTGCAGTATGACTGTGTGTCAGCCAACTTGCACTTCGGCGCCTGTCTTACCTGCCTGTGCATAAAGAGCTGTCTGCTGATAGACTGCAGGAAGAAAAAACTTTCACAGCGTTTATCTAAAAAAATATATATTTGGGCTGAGCGTGGCGACTCGTGAGCGAAGGCGTTTGAGGAGGAGAGCAAAAAAAAAATCCCATTTCCAGCAGGCGGCTTCCTTGTAAATGTGCAAAGAGATGTTAAAAAAAACTCCCATCTCCAATTTTATCAATTTCAGACAGACTCCAGACAGTCTCCAAGCGGTTACGTGCCTGCTTGTCCTGCGCGTGCACGCCGAATGGCGCGGGAAGCGGCGATAACAGATCCAGAGTGACAGCGCGAGCAGCCAATGGCGAGGAGGAGCCGGATCCAGCGTCCAATCACAGTGGCCGATAGGTATAAACCCCCCGCCCCTCCTTCCTCCTCCTCACCCGTCTGTTGACAGTGCACTGAATAAAACAACAGTCTGAGTTAAGCAGTTCAATGCACTGAGATGTGGGTCACTGACTGCAGCCTATCCTCTCTGGGAAAATTAAAGCAGCGTGGTATTATTCATTACAGAGAAATACCATGACCTCATGCATGTACATAAATTATACAATTAATTGTACATCACATGGGCTTGATCCAATTAACTACAATTATCATAATTTGCCTTTTCATATGCTTTTTAAATGTATACCATATAAAAGCACATAAATATGACCTAAAGTGATAAAGTGACCAGACATGTTTTCCTTTGGCCCTGCGATTCGTGCCGTTTGTCAGACACCAGTTACAATTGCCAGTGATATATGCAGCAACCATTGTGTAAATACATGCAATACTTTGTTGCACATGACTACATACACCTGACTGAAAGTACTCTGGTTATCAAGATGTCTCCTCTGATGCCTGCTGCCCAGGTCTCCATCTATTTATCTGCTTGAATAGTTAAAAATATATTCATTTTAAATGTATTTATGATGATAGATAGATAGATAGA